GGCTGTAGCATTCTTGCATCACATTGCTAAAATTTGTGAGAGTGAAAAATATGAGAAGCTTATGATATTGTGTAGCTTTAACTATTAAAATGATGTATATATGCATCTTAATTTGCCAAGTGATGCTTGCTTTGTAGCCAAAGAGTCTTCTTCACCTACTGACCTTGTGGATAAGCTTGTGGACTTTGGCCTGTCCTCATCCAATGATACTCTTTTATTTGCTAAAGAAATATTTGCAAGAGTTCCTCACAAACAATCTGGTTTAAGTGTAAGTTTTTTCTGAACTTTTTTTCAGAATTTATCTCTGTAGTAAGTCTTTGATGCTTGCTTTGATACTACATAACTTTTTGCTGTTTTGCATCTTTTTTGAGTTCAAGTTTTATTGATATTGCAAGGTTTTAGCTTTGTTGGACAGTATGAAAGGTTTTAAGAATTTTGATTAAGCGATTTTGTGTTCTACTAAGGCAGTGGCAAGTTTTGGACGTTTTTTAAACTTTAGGTTGACAGTTGGTAGTGTGTTACTTGCTTAAATTTCTTATTTTTATATATAAATGCCTTGTCTTGGATATGATGTTATGAACAATCTTTTTCCTATTCGGTTTGGTGGCAACTAAGCTCTAGCAGAGTGCTGGCGGTGTTAGCTAAGTTCTAGAACCATTTGACAAGTCTCCAAAGAATTTTTGTTATCTTTGGTTGGGCCTCAGCGAAGCTTCAATTGGGTACCAATATGCTATGGTATATAAACCAGAAAAAAAATTGTAAGATGAATTCCAGCATTTGAAATCAAACTAATTAGATTTTAGACTCGTTACTTAAAAAAATATGTTGGTGAATCCATAGGGATCTTAAATTTCATCCAATCTAATAGTCTTATCATCTGTTTATCTTCATGTTGATCCTGGCTTAGTTATTTTTTTCATGGAACGCAAGTAAGTTTGAACTTTAGTTAAACCTGACTCAATTATATTAGATATGAATTATTTAGTCTTCGTTTGGGATTGTCGCTTTATTGTTCTCTTGTTTTGTTTGGTAGAAAATAAAGTCATCTTACTCTCAAAGAGATGCATGATTTGTCATGCAAGTGTGTTTTTTATGGCCATGAAGCCTTGCATGAAATGCATATTCTGTTAAGCACTTTACTTTTTTTCACCAATTTCCTCTCAAATCAAAATGTTTATTGAACAAGGATTTAATTTTAATCATATACATTAGTAGTCCTTAATTTACTGATATGGTGTGTATGTTTGTTCGTTAAGCTTGATGCATCATCAAAATAATGACCGAGAATGATTAGAATTTAATCAAGCTATGTAAGAAGGTCTCTGCATTACCATTTGTTCTTTATCCATGCTTGCTATAAATGCCTCACTTATTTTTGGAAGGATTTAATAGATGGAAGCAAACTTTATGCATAATAAGAATGTAATAAAATGCTTAATAAAAGCCACATAGTTGCACCACTTTTGAACTGTTTCCATTTTGTTTTAGAAAACAAGTGATGGATGTTTCGGCCTGTCTGCCCTTGTACATTGGACTCTCAATTTTTTGCTGTTGTGAAAGTGGTCAATGACCTACTAGAATTAGTATAAAGGGAAATAGTGCGTGATAGAACCTGTGTTGCTCCAATTATATGGAGTTTCTTCGATAAAGCTTGTAGGGAAGTTCCTATAATAAAGCTTGCTCTCTTCCTCTCTGATGCCGAGAACGGCGACTCGCCTCTTCCTGCCGACTTCATCTAGTAGGGAAGTTCCTGTATGGACATCATAAAATGGAGTTTCTTCGAAAACACTTTGAACTGATGAGGCTTACGGGAGACTGGAAGATAGGTCCCTTAGATGGAAGACACATTTTAATTCAACTGTCCAATGAAGAGGACTATGCGCGCCTGTTTGCGAAACGATTGGTGTGGTTTGAGGACTGCGGTATGAAGGTCTTAAAATGGTCAGCAAATTTTGATCCTAAAGCTGAGGCTCCTATTATTCCAGTCTGGCTCCAGTTCCCAAATTTGAAAGTTCATCTCTTCAATCACGAAATCCTCTTCTCCTTGGCCGCTATGTGCCCTAAAATTATATGCTCCCACATATAATCTCACTAGACCTTCTATGACTGAGTTTTAATTGAAAGGGACGTGACTTTACCTCCACCTGATGAGGTTTGGATTGGGTCGGATCACATTGGTTTTTGGCAACAGGTATTATTAGAACAACACTCCTACTGCACACATTGTCGAATGTTTGGCCACAATCAGGATCAATGTTTCAAGTTACATCCGAAACTGAGGAAAGGGGATGGTAGGAAACAGCTGCACGTGGAGCAAGCTTCTATGTTCCCTGAAAATGCTGCAGCTGTTCAAGCAGAACCTTTAGCAGCCGTGTCCCACCCCACTATCATCCCTTCGGGTCCTACCGAGGGTAGAACTGAGCAGGTGTTATCTGACTCGAATCGTCCGGATATCTCTAATAATGAGGGAGCTAGATTTTCTTTTGCCTCGCTCCCAGTTACTTCAAATGCTGATAAAAATCTAGATCCTACCCCCTCTAATGCTATTGCCCCGATTGAGATAACAAGGCAGGTGTTACCTGCTCCGGACTCTCCTATCATCTCTAATACTGAGGGGGCTCATCCTTCCTCGACTTCTCTCCCTGACGCTTTGAATATGGATAATAATTCTATTTATTCTCATCCTCTGACACTCCTTTGGAAGATATTTCAAAAGTTTCAAGGGATTAATGACATGTTCAAAATTATCGTAGAAGGAAGAATAGAGCTCGAAAGGAGGTGCAAAATCACACTAACGGAATTTCTAATGCTATGTTGGAGATGAATCAATACTATTCAGATGGAGAAAATGGACGGACCCGACCTAGATCTTCTAGGAAGGGTAATATGTCTACTCATGTTTAATATTCTTATTTGGAATATTATGGGAGCTGTGGATCCTCACTCCATTGGTAGACTCAAATTAATGACAAGGATTCATAAGGTTGATATATTTGCTATTTTGGAACCCTTGGTCTCCTCTCCGGATGATCGTATCTTGGGTAAATTAAAAAAATTCTCTTTTTTTTTTGCTAATTGTTCTATCAAAATTTGATTGTTTTGGCAGAAACATATTATAGTTGATGTCATGACTGTGATTGACAGTTTGTGCATACTCTCTTCTCTATGGATGTTTTCTCTGGATATCTTACTTTTGTCAACGCCGGGACTTCTAATGCTGCTAGATTTGATCTCTGACACAAACTTTCAGAGATGGGCACTTTAATCCATCAAAATTGGATGGTTGGAGGGGATTTCAATATGGTGATGCATGAATCTGAAAAGTTAGGTGGTCGAAGATTTGACACCACTTTAACAGATAAATTCAATGATACTTTGGCTATAGCGGGCATTTCTGACTTGGGATTTATTGATCTAAATTTACTTGGGAAAGAGACAAGTTGTTCGAACGACTTGATAAATGCTTTGCTAATCAGCTGTGGCTCTCCTCTTATGGTTTTTCGCAGGTTCAACATCTTTGCAGATCTGGATCTGTTCATAGCCGAGTTCTCTTATCCTTTGTTTACTTTAAAAAGGTCTCCACCTATCATTTTCGTTACTTAAATGTCTGGGTTAGACATGATGATTTCTTGAGATTAATTGCTAATAATTGGAAATGTAATGATTGGTACACTCTTTGGAAACTGCATAAGAAGGTGGAAGAAGGTGGTTGTTGTTCTAAGGTTTTGGAATTGGAATGTCTTTGGTGATGTACATGCTAGAGTTAAGAGAGCCGAACATAGGGGAACTAGATCGCGGGGGATGAGGAGATAGGGGAGAGTGCGGTTCTTTGTTTTTCTTAACCTTTTGAGTTTCACGAGACTTCGGGCTCTATTGATACCTCTTTATTTGATGATGTACGTCATCATATGGTGGATCTCAATTTTTATGGTATTCCCTCGGCTGAGGAAATCTATTATACTCTTCTGGATATTAATTGTAATAAAACCCCTGGGTCGGATGACTTCACTTCTGCTTTCTACGTTAAATGCTGGAGTATTGTTTGAAAATAAGGTAGTGGAGGCTATCCCGTGTTTCTTTAAAGGGGAAACACGACGAAATTATTTCTCTGCTGCTACAATTGTTCTCCGTCCCAAGAATACTCAAGAGTGCTTAGGACCATTTTACACCCATTTCTCTGACTTCTGTTATTTCAAAGATGATTAGTAAAATTTTGGTCAGACGCATCCAACTTCATCTCAACAAATTAATTGTTTTGAATCAATCTGCCTTTATTCAGGGACGAGGGATCACTAATAACATCATGTTGGCACAGGAACTCATTCTTGACATTGATAAAAAATGTAGAGGGGCAACATGATCACTAAATTGGATATCCGTAAGACTTGCGATTCTCTCAGTTGGGAGTTTATATTGAAGGTTCTTAAGGCTCGTGGTTTCTCTCAGGAGTTTTGCAAAATTATCCTCTCATGGCTTCATTGTAATAAATATAGTATTCTAATTAATGGCCATTCTTAGGGATTTTTTAGTGCTGGCCCTGGGATTAAATATGGAGATCCTTTATCCCCTACTATTTTCATTTTAATATTTGATTATTTTTCTCGCCTTCTTAACAATCTTTTCAGGAGAAACTCTACTTTGCATTACGCTTATAAATCTAACATGGTGGTCACTCATTTAGCTTATGCCGATGACATGATTCTGTTTTCTAATGCTAGAAAAAAAAAACGGTGAAGAAGATTCACAACTTAATGGTTGACTTTCAATCCGGCTCTGGTATTCTTTTTAATGCTAATAAATGTAACATCTACTTGGGAAACATGATCAAATCGTTCAAATGCATGCTGGATTGCCAATTTTACGGCCTTCACTCTCTCTACCCTTCCCCTTAAATATCTTGGGTATTTCTCCTTAAAGGCAGGAAGAGGCGCATTCAGTTTGACGAGGTAGTGGAAAAGGTGCGGAAAAGAATTTTGGATTGGAAAAATAATTTCCTTTCCTTTGGGGGTCGAATTACTTTGCCCATGAGCATCCTTCACTCTTTTCGTTTATACACTCTTCAGGTACTCCAACCCAAAAAAAGTACTATTTTGAATCTTGAAAGATGTTTCAATAAGTTTTTATGGGTGGGAAATCACTCCGGTAGAAGATGGATGCTTTAGAAGGATATTTGCAAACCCCTGTATGCTGGTGGTTTGGGCTTCAAATCTCTGCAACATATTACTGATTTAAATGTTTTTAAGAAATGGTTTAATTTCAGGAAAGATG